TTTTTTTTTTTTTTATGTTAAGTTATATATTATAGGTTAATAAAACTATGTGGGCTGTAGTACATTTTTCTTCAGATAATTCTGTGGACTATGTACCTTCAAGTTGGGTAAAAAGAGATGGGATAAAAATGGTTTGTGCGTGGCCAAACAATGACAATAATTTAAAAAAACTCAGATCTAGCCGTTCATATCCTAATAAAATTGACTACAGTTATTATAAGTGTAGAGTCATCTCTAAAGATATTGGTAAGTAAGTTAATCTATTTAAAAATCTATAAACTATGAATCATTTTTTTCTATTAGCATTGTTATCTGAAGCTCAAATCAAAGCTAAAAAAGCGCAATTCACATCTGATGTATCTGACGGAGATAAATACAACAGAAAGCTAAAAAATATGAAATCATTAGATAAAACAGCTGTTGGTAGAAAAAGATGTTCTTTGCTGTCAGGTAGTAAGTTCATTGAATATATTTAACATATTATATAATATACCTACTCATGTAATATAAAATAAAACTTTTAGAAATTATAGATAGTAATGTTTTAGTTCTAAAAATGTTGAAATTATTTTATTATGATATAATAAATAATTAAAAAATATTGTTATTGTTTAGGTTCTTTAACAAATATTAATAGTGAAGAAGATATTACATTGGCAAACTCCGATGATAATTCTAACTCACACAAAACTAGTGAATGTTCCGAAACTTGTAAGCTATACCCATGTACAGTTAAATTATTTATTACATTTTAACTTAATTAATTATTTTTAATAGGTAAAAAATTAACTTTTTATTTAAAAAGTGTTAAATTTGATATGATGAGAATTTACTATTTTCTTATATATTTTTCATTTACTAATCATATTATAATTATTTATTGAATTCCTTTATCTATGTATTATGTAATTATGTAAATTTATAGTATATTTTTAATGTAAATATTGTTACAGCATCTGTTATTGATGATAGCGATGTTGATCAGAATTATATTCCGGACTATCATAAGCCTATGAATCAACATCAAAAACAAGATATATCTACTGAAATCTTGAAATCTGGTTTGTAATATATTAATTTTAAACAGATATATGCTTACCAATGTAAAATTAATTAATAAATTATTTTAAACATGTAAATGTAATATTATTAGATAATGATATTGATATAAATAATCAAAGTATGTATGCCATTCCATCTACCTCTTCACAATCTCAGCAACCACTACAATTTCAACCACCAATTAATTCTCCTTCATTTACTGGTAATATATCCTATATTGAAATTTATAAACAATGTAATTATATACATATTTGTTTTCAATTGAGTTGGTAGTCACTTTATTTTAAACTAAAAGTCACTTTTTTAAATGCTTATTTAGAAAAATAAGTCATTTATAATTTATATGTCACTTATTCACCAGTTTTACATGCATTCAATTAATTATTTCATTACATAATATTAACTGGGTTAATTTTTTTTTAATCTGTAAAAAAAAATGTCATATTTTAGGATATATAAGAAGCTCCTAACACTAATAATGAATATTATTCTTTATTGTATCATTCATTTATTTAGGTTATATAATTTAAAAATGTCTTATTCAAATTTGTGTTTAATCTAACCATTTTTTTTTTTTTAATTAGCTTAAATAACTCTCAGTCCTATATATAAAACTAATATAACATTTTTTTTTTGTATTGTCAATTACAAATGTACAAACTAATTTTGATAATAATTCATTTTTTCTTTAACTTATTCTCAGTTTTTCAAAAAGCAACGTTAAATTACTTAGCTGTCCTAAAAGTAGAAATTTCTAAGATTGCTGATAATCAACAACACATAATACAAATGATACAATCAAATCATGTTAATATTATAACCCAAGGTGATGAGTTAAATTGGGAACATGAAATTGACTATTTTATACATAATTGGCCTATCTCTAATAAAGAAGACTTAATCAAAATGGAAGAAAAAATGAAATCTGATGTTCATTTTCAAAAACAAGTTGTATGCTATTCTAATTTGTATGAATATTAAATTGTAAATTTGACAAATGTAAATTTTTATAGGTATGCGAGCTCGCAAGAATAGGTGGTAAATCACTAAAAAATATGATTTACAAAATTATGAAAAGAGTATTCGATGACAAAGTTTTGATTGCTTACACATATTATGGTCTAAGAAACAAAGAAAATTTTTCATTATTAGCTATCAATAAGGCAATTTTTGGTAATAATACATAAATAATATATTGATCAATCTCACATTACTTTTATAGCTCTAGTATAATATTTTCAGTTATATGCATAATTATTAATTACCTGAATTATAGTGCCTTATAATTTATAAACTAAATTTACAATAATGTATTATATAGGTTTATATTTTATTTATAACACTAACTACTTATAAATCAATATGAAGAAATTAAATTTATTACTTAATAACTGCGTAGTTTTTAATTTTTTAATTTTTTATATTTAGTTTGTTAATTATTGTTGTGTAACTTAATTAATTATGTTATTATGACGTGTAAATTAAACTTCAAATTATTATTTTTTTAATAAATACTTTTATTGTAAATTTGTTTAGATGCAAGTAAGAAGTCCAACTTTAAAAATGCATCCAATGATGAAATCATCACAGCAATTGGGAAATGGCTAACTAGTGCCAAAGGGCGGCTTATTAAAAAAAACCCATTGTAATACCTAATTATAATTTGAAAATAAAAATTCAAGATGAATTTTATTCAAAGATTTATTGTTGTTCACCTTATTAAAAACATTTCTTTAAGACCATAATGTTAGGTAATATCTATTGTCATTGTAATTCAGACTAAACACCTGGTTAATTAATATTTATAAGATTCTCTTTTGAACTACTTGCATGGATGATGGACTTTGAGTCCTGTATACATATATCTATTGATATCATATAGACAGACTGATTATTAATATTACCACATAGTTAATTGTTATTATTTAATTTCTATCAGATATTTTTTTCAGGTAAGTGATACATATGTATTATATATATACGATATAATATAAAAATGCATATTCAATCAATAATTCATCTTATACATACAGAAGATATTCATTTTTGTTTATATAATATATATATATATATATATATATATATATATTTTTGATATTAAAAAGTATAAAAAAATATATTATGTAGATGTCTAATA